GTCCAAGCCCAACAGCAGACCTCACAGCAACAGAAAGTAACTTATACTACACAGCCTGCCATTAAAACGCAGTTCTTGACAACTCCGATTTCCCAAACCCAGAAACCAGGTGGAACCCAGCAAGTGCAGGCCCAGATTCAGGTACAGGTAACACAGGTTTACACCTTTAGCCTCTACTGTGATTGGAGAACAGTAAAGATGACAGTTGACTTAGCATTTTAGCCCCTACTCTTACTAATTCTAGTTACATGTTTGTATAAATTGACTTTATAATAAAATTAATTGATGCTGAATTTGCAGCCTTGTTAGCAGCTCAGAGGAACCATCTGAGCTGTAAGTTCTCCTTTCTGCTTTGAAAGAAGTCAATTATGTCACTCTTTTTTTCTTAAGTAGTGGATTCCAGCTGTGCTTACTAGGGAACATTCAGTCAGAGTTCTTCCCGTTTTCTGCTGCTATCTCCTGGTCCAACCTTTGGCAGCCAAGAATAGCTGACAGCTATCTTTTCTGCACAGTTAGATTAGTCTAACCAAGGGATAAGTAAGAGAATTAGGATTTGGAAACCTTACTCTTTCAAAAGTATATCTAAGATAATGTAGGCCATTAGAACTTCTGTGCCTCCTTAATTTTATGTAACTGGTGGAGGAAATGAAAGCGTGTTGCAGTTAAGACTGCTGTTCAGTTAAGACTGAAAATGTGACTCTTTCTTCCCATCCTGCCTCAGTTCCTCAATACACTGATCTAAAAGTTTCGTTTTGTTTTGTGGTATGATGTGTTGTTGCTATTAGCCAGATTTTATTTTGACTAATTCTTTCTTTATTTCATGTCCCTAAAGGTTGCAAAGCTTCCACAAGTGGTCCAGCAACAGGCTACTGTTGCAAACATTCAACAGATGGTTTCAGTTTCTCAACAGGTATGTCTTGCTCATAACAAAGATCGCACTAAACACGATCCTATTGCAAGCTCATTTATTTGGGAAGATTATATGTGTATATTTCTCCTTATGTCTGCCATATGCAGTGTTGTTGAAGAATGTAGCAAGTATCTTTCCCTCCAGTAAAAATGAATCGTGTGATTACTGAGTGTCAGCTGCTATATATCCTCTAGTCTGTAAAACTTTTTTAGATAGAGCAAAGTTTGTTTGTCACTGTTGATAAGTTGAAAAACGGCTTTTTATATTTTTTCTAGATCTGAAAATTAAAAAAAAATTGTTTCTTTGGATGTATAATTATATAGCAAAGAATTGAACTAACGAGCGTCATTTGAGTTTATTCTTTTACCAAACCTGGGAGCAACAGAGGATTGCAAATAGTTTTGTTCTAATTCCCAAAGCTGGGCCAAGTGCTTCACAGAAGTCAGAATGGTAGACTATCTGCTCTGAAGGTGATGTGATAGTAGACGGAGCTATGGCAAGAGAAGGATGAGACAGTTTGGTCTCCCTTCGCCTAACTACCTGGAAGTTCATTTAACTGTTTAGAATAATGTCTTTCAGAGCATTAGCAATAGGCTTAACTTTTGTTATGTTATTGATTGGCAGGAATGATTTAACTTTAGACGGTTGATGGAGCTATTGCCCTCAGTGCACAGAAATCTGAGCCAATCAGCTCTTAATCTGTCGCAGTTTATAGTGCAGTTTTTTAAGGCAGAACAAAATCTGTGACTGTTTATCTTATAATGATGATAAAGTGCTGTAAACTGACTCAGATGTGAATGCTGCAAGGGCAAGGTAGACAGCAGGGAGTAGAAACCTCGTCAGTCATCCCAGGTTGAGTTATCCTCTCTAGTCAATAAAAGCCCTTCGATTATTTTTCAACAGACATTAAAGGCTAGATTTTCAAAAGTCATTAATGAAACTCTGGGACCACTGAAGACTATGGTAAAAAGACAAACAAACAACTGGCCCACCACACCCTCCGGTGACTTCAGTGGCAGTAAGATTAAGCCATGCAAAGTATTTTTAAAACTGCCGTCTTGATGTGTACATCGTTTCCTTTTTACCTGCGTTGTTAGTATAATGCTTCCCAGTGGATTTCTCTTGGATTGGTTAACTTTCCCCTGGAGGAAAGTTCATTTGGCTTCTGCTTCTTGCTTTGAAGCTGCTGAAAACTTAATTACATTGTCCTCCACACAAGGAGAGGTGGAATTTTTCTCTCTTGCTCTGGGTAGAGTTCTGAAAACTAGGTTCCTGGACCGGGTCCATATTACTCTACCCCAAAGTGGTGATAGAGGCTGTCGGCTGTAGTCTGGAAGGGTAATGTCAGAGGCTGGCAGGGAGCCTCAATGGCCATACTTATTGTTACAGTATGGGTGCAGAGTGCACTTTTTCTCCTCTGATCCTACATCTACCCCTTTATTCTTTTCCATGTTCCTTCGCTTGTGCTTCTAAAGTACTGGAATTTTCCTGTCTATCCAGTGGGTTTTTTTTTTTTTTTTACCTTTCATATATCTTCTACAAAGGATCTGGGGGGAATTTTCTTTGATCTGCACTGTAGGTATCTAAGCAATGGGTGTCTTAGCTCTTTGCTTTGATTTATAAGCCTGTACTCTAGCAAACGTGGCTGAAAGTTGTTTCCCATTCAGACCGTGCATCCTGCATTCTCAGCATCCCTCCCAGTCTTTCTAATTTGTCTGAGGTGCTTGTCAGTCAAGAGAACAAACACCCATCAAATAAGATGCTCTTCTGTAGTGCAGAAATTTAATGAACACTCTGTTTAATGCCAAGCTATCCTTTTGTAATTGCCTTGTCATCCTAATGTCTAGGTTCAAGCTCAACCTCAAACCGTGACCCTTTCTCAGACAACAGCAGGTCAGCAGCAGGTTCAAGTGATTCCTGCAACAACTGCTACTGCTCAAGTCGTCCAGCAGAAACTGATACAACAGCAAGTCGTGACAACGGCATCTCCTCAGATTCAGGCTCCAGGTGTACCGAATCCTGCACAGACACCAGCAACGTCTGAAGCCCAAAATCAGCAAGCAAAAGTACAAATGAGGACACCTACTGTCAGATTAAAGGCACCTACTAAACCAAGTTGAACTAATGATTAAAATGCAATAAGCAGGGAAATACAGCATTTCTTGTTTGCTAAGCCATGGCAAAGTGAGAAGCGTCTCCAAGCATCCAAATGAAGACAAATCACCTTTATTTTTTTTAACAGAAGGATTTTGCTGGTGAGCATTTAAACATGGAAACTCTCACAAAATTTCAGCACGTTAGCAACTGTTTAACACTCAAAATCTGTACAAGATGCATTCTGCCCGTGTTCTCTGTGCTCATTCAAACCAGATAAAGCAAACATTACTTACATGTAAATTCTGCCCAGCTACGCAAAGGTAAAATGGTGATAGGCCATAAATGTCAGTACAATTCATCTAGGTTAGCATACCATAAACTGCCGGTGGGAATATGCAGTTCTTTGCTATAATTTGTGTGAGTGTTCGATATCCATGGTGAAGCCATTGAAAGAACCAAGTGTGGCTAATATAGCAAAGTATTTTCCATCTGTATAGAAGCTGCATGTTGTTCTCGCTTGAGGTAAATACCTCTGGAGGAACTCATTTATATTTGAAGTGCTCCCTGAAAAGTTTAGCCAATAAATGTGAAAACCTGTAAGTATATGTAATTAAAAGGAAGAAAAATGTTTCATTCTCCATTTTTGTAAGTCTTTTAAAATGTTTGTTAGTAGTTTTGTGTACAGTTTACCGAAGCACCCAGCCTGTGCGCTCATTCTCATATTTCACTTTAAGGGTAATGGATATTTTAGGCATGAACCGAGTAAATACTGTGTTGATAGTAGACGTGTATTAAAGTGTAGCCCATTTTTTGTAAAAGAATTGTTCAGTAGATACAGCTAAACAAATGGTCCATAGCTGTTTCTCATGGGACTTTCATAAAGGAAAATCTCAAACAGGTGAAGTTTAATCTCTCAGTTTCATTCTGCTCTTGCAACATGTTTAAATGTTCAGTACTTTCTACTCTGCTTTCAGCTTGGCGGGAGGGGGGCTGGGGGAAGGGGAGAATAGTGAAATTAAATCTAAGACTAATTCTTCAGTTGTGTAAAGAATAAGATCTAACTTTTGTACTATTCTTTTACTAAAGCTAATGATGAATGTATCTTCAGGTGGGTATTTTGGATGTGAATAGAGCGTGGCCTCTTCCTCCAAATAAGTTTGCCTTATTGTTATGAGAAAAAAAAAAAAGCGAAAAGCTGCATAGAACTGTGGGGATTTTCTTTACTTTTCTTGCATAAAATTGCTGAAAAGCAAACTCTGTTTGCAAAAAGCAGAGTGAGGAATCGAAAAGCTCTTGGTGGCTTGAATAGATTTGTTTTACTTTGGCCATAAAACTGCATGACCTGTAAAATTCAGACAAGATTATAACATTCCTGTTCTGAAATGGTTTTAAAATTATTTTTTCATTCTGTGATCTTTTTACTATTTTAGGAGGGGATCCTATTTACAGGCAAGGAAAGCATATCTTTTGTTCTTATTGCTATATGTACACACCTATAGGTATCCAACAGTCCAGATGGCTTAAACAAGAAAGAATACCCAGTCAACTCCTCTGTTCTAAGTAGGATAGACGTCCCGTTCTGTTAAGATCACGAATGTAACCCTGGGTCAGGCAGAGTTCCTGCTTTTTTTTTTTCTTTTTAATTTTATACCTCTTTTCTCCTGCATCGTATTTTTCTTGGACCCTCAGGTCTGCAACTGAGCGGGGCATTGTTGTTTTTTTAACGTTTTGCATGAACAAATACTCTCCTGACCCTGCTGAATGAACCACTGTCTCGTGCCATTACCTAAACTTCATTACTAGCAGAAAAGATAATAATGCTGGCAATGGAATAGTTGAAAAGGCAAAGTAAATGCAATGGTAACAGATAACTGACACTGTACAGTATGATGTTGCTCATCCAAAAATATTGCTTAGTTAGCCCCAGTTTTACTTTTAAATGTTTAGCTCTTATTACGTGCATGGAAGTCGTTGCGGGGGGGGGGGGGGCACCATGCGCGGGAGCAGCGGAAGAGCTGTTGCCTGCATCATTGTGCTGGTCTGATTTGGTGTCTAAAGAGGCAATTGTTTCTTGTTTAGGTCAGTTAATGAAGATAAAAATCTTTTTTTTTTTTTCCTCCTTTCAGTGTTTCCCTCTCCCAAGAGTGTGTTAGGAAGTCTACCTGTAAATAACTTATGAACATAAGCATTTGTACTTGATCCAGTAGGATTGTAAGGACTAGTGATGTATCCTACCTGAAGGTGTAATAAAGTGTACATTTTTATAACACCTCCGTGCCAGCCCGTCTGTAACGCGCCGGGGAGACGCTGCGGGAGGAGGCGCCCCGCCAGCGCCA